CATAAGATTAGAAATGAAACTTTCTTTAGTTGAATTAATCTTTACTTTTATGGAAATTTAGTGGGGGGTCTTATAATTATGAGACACCCTGTACCAAACCAATTGAAAAATCCTCCAAATAATCGAATTTGGTAGATATTTAAAAAATTAAATATATCATTTTATGTATATTATAGAGAAATTTTTCGTAAAATATTGATATACATGTGCGAAAAACTATGTCTTTTTTATTTATTCTCTTTAATATTTATCATTGATAAAATGAAAAAAAAAATGTTTTTTCTTTTTATTTTATTGTATTGATACAATATTTATGTTTCCATATAAAAATCGAATATTTTCATATATTTCTTAATGTCATTGAGTTGATTAAACAACCACAATACGTTCTAGTTTGTAGAAAGGGAACAATTATCTAAATAAACCAATTAAAGAAAAGATATGAAAATTAATTGATTAATTGTTAATTAATTGCGACATCTTTTGAATGAAATTTTATTTTAATTCGTTAAATAAAATTTTCAAGAAAAATAAATTTTAAATAAAATTCTACATTTAGATTATATTGACAATGATGTTTGAACATTTGGCTGCATTTTTTGTTGATAAATCTTTGAAAAATTCACCAAGATTATTAAAAATAAATCCTATTTATGGAATTAGTCAAAATAAAAATGTTCATTTAAAAGGTAATAAATGATTTTATTTGGATATTCAAGAGAATTTTCTGTATTTTTTTTGTCTAGTGGAATTGTATAGAGAAACACCATTGATTAATCGTAAAGAAGAAATACAAGATGAAAAAAAATTCTGATATAACATTTAATTTTATTATTGAAATTTTCTTTATAACACATTTTAGTTATTCATGTTCAGTACATAGATTTTATCGAAGATTATTAAAAATAAATTCTTCAAGACGAAATATATTTAATCATATTTGAAAATATTTCGATTAGTGATGAAAATATCACGTATACGAGATGTTTATGATAATATTGTTAAATCTAATGATGTTGATCATGAAAATTCTAAACGATTAGAAGAAGCAATAGAAAAAGGTAAAATAGAAAGATTTTCACTATACGAATTTCAGTCTCAACTTTCTACTCACGACTCAATCGGAGATTAAACGAGTATCGAATTAACTTTTTTGATTATCGTCAATAGATCCTACAGTATTTCTTAATTTCAAAACTGTGTTAAATGAACCTCGTCCATTGGAATTATCGAATGTATTATTTACTGCAGCATGTTCATGACTTGTTCATATAGTATCATCTTCAAATGATAAACATGGATTTGAAGGCGAAGAAAAAATGAATGTTATTAAAAAATTACCATTAAAATCTGAATCGAATCAAGAATTAAGTTATATTTCACGATTTATTATGGAAAATATTATTGATTATCTTAAATTTCTTGGTCGATTTAATATTCAATTTTTCCAAGTAAAATTTCCCAAGTCTTAACAATACAAAATACATTTGATTATTTTCTTTTTTTTTTTAAAGACAATAGGACCATCAATTAATAAATATGTCAATATTATACTTTTATTTATGCATGATGAAAGTCATTTAGGTAATCCTCATTTACGTGCTACATTAGCTGAAGCACTTGAAACTATTCTACCCCCAAAACAACATGGCAATAGTCGAACATTAAATAGGTAAATTCAAATGATTTCTTCATTCATTTTGAAAGTTTTTATTATTCTAGTTCATTTGCTGAAACTATTTTTAAAGAACATTCATTAATAGAACATTTACTACGTGTACTTCTTCATGTATTTGTATTAATTGAATTAACTGGATAAGCTGTAGCATTTGAACAAAAATTTAATTATCGTCATCCAATCTATGAAATACTTGAATATCTTTGGAAATTTGATAACACATCGAACACAAGTTAAAGTTCGTGATGAATTTTCTTAAATGAAACAAAAATATATAAATTTATTCATTTTAGAAACTTGCTTCACATGCTGAACGATATATTGATGATGCTGAAGCTTTACTTTTTTTACATTTTATTAATTTACTTATGAATGGTGCAAATTATTTATCAGATGAAGCATTATCAGTAAATAAAAAAAGAACAAGAAATTCTTTTGTTAATATTCATTTATTTAGCATATGACAACATTAAAAGCAAAATAAGAAACAAAAAAAACATGTTGAATGGAACGAAATGCCCGAAAAACAACGAGAAGAACTTGAAAATTCATTTTGACAAATTGGTCGAATAGCTCGTTATACAAATATCATGGGCATTAAAACGGTACAGAAAGAAAAGGAAACATTCGTCAAAATAACGATTTTTATTTGATAAATTATTATTCTCGATATGATAACAAATGATATTCAATCAATATTTTATTATCCAGCTATATGTGAAAGACTTGCATCAATGCTTAATTATTTCCTTGAACATTAATATATATAGATTTGACCTAAACGACGTTATTTAAAAGTTCGAGATTTAAAATGAATATTTATTTGAACCACAAAAACTTGTTGCAAAAGTAACAGATATTTATTTTAGGACCAACTTGTTCGTTCTGTCCTGCCGTGGTGGGTGGTAGGACAGCAGCAGCAGTAGGACTGTCCTGTCTTGTACTCACTCAGCTTTGATTCTGACTATAATATGATACATTTTGCACCAATTGAATTTCTTTACAATGTATTGAATTCATCCTTTGCTGTAGCAGATCATCATAAATTTAGAATATATGAATAGAAGAAAAATAAATATATTAGTATTATTAATGACTCGTCATAATCTTCAAAGATACAAATCCTACCATGAAATATATCAACTTTTCATAGAGTTTCTGATTTTTAGGGAAATTAATGAGAGGAACCTGAACTCGGAGCGATATTTATGTAATCCAAAATTCTCGGATACTCTATAGAACATACTGTAGTGGCATGGGCTAAAAATGATCTATCTTAACCCCTTTTTCTCAGCTATACAATGAAAGAAATTTTCTTGTGGTCGAATTCCA